ACCACAAACACACAACCACAAACACACAACCACAAACACAACCACAACCGCAACACAGCACACAACCACAGCACACAACCCGAGGACCCACAAGCAACATCGAGAACTACAATACTGACGACTATGGCAACATGCTCCTCACTATGGCATCAAGACAAATGATTGAAATGTCATGGTGGGGATCACTCGAAGTAAAGTAATTTACACTGTGAGCCTCTTCCAATTTATCGTTGCCTGGATGACGTGGAGTCTTGCACCAAGAATGGTGAAGGCCACAGCGGGGATCATTCTGGCGTTGCGTGTGCTCTGGCTGATTGTAGATGTTTGGTATTGGGCAGGTTTGTCATTTAGGCAGGAGCTGCAGAAGAAGTACAACCTACTTAGCTTGCTTGCGTGCTATGGACTGCTGGCCTCAAAACTGCTAGGTGTGCTGCGCTTGGCACCAGGTGCCAAACTCGACATGTTGAAAGCAGAGTGAATCATAAGACCAGGCCATCGATTGGAAGCCAAGATTTTGATGTGGCAAGCGGCATGAGGCAAGCCGCAGTCCTGCTCATCCAAAATTGATGAGCAGGACAGCGGTCTTGCCAGTGAAGGTCCGGTGCAAAGCAACAAAGTGTGGTAGACAAGGACCAAGCAAGTGTTCAAGTTCAACTTTCAACACGCAACCACCGTACCAATACACAGGGCCGGTATGGTCTAATGGCTATGAATGACGCATCCCTCATTGCGTCGAACCCGGGTTCAATCTCCAGGTGCGACGCGGACCGGCGGATGGGCGCGCTCAGGGTGTGGACCGCTCCACACAACCGTACCAATGCACCGTCATGAGAATCAAACCCATCTCGACTTGGGAGTAAAATAAGATTAAGCTGCGTGCCGCGCGCTGGGGCACTTGACGCTCATTTTACTCCAGCTATGGTGTCAGTCAGTATGAGCTTCGCGGGGTCCTCCGCTTGCAAAACAAATGATTCGGATGCCAAGCAGAACAAAGGAAACAACATGTATAACTCGGCTGAGGAAGCTCTCCTGCTGCCTTGTCGACCCCTTGGGGTGAGATGGAGGCGTAGCGGCTCGCCGACCGCTCGGCCGGGGGATGTTGGCTTCGGATCCTTGGCTTCGCCCAAGGAGTCCAAGTCTCGGAGGGCTCCACGACATGGGTGGACTCAACTTGTCGCCGAAAGCCCGTAGGGCGTACAGCGGTCAAAGATGGGTTGACGGTTCATGAGGTGTTTTACATGCCGCTGGCAGGCAGCGGTGGAACCTTCACCCAAGTCGGGACCTACACCCAAGTCGGGCAAGTCAGGGCCTTCGCCCAAGTCAGGCTGGGAAAGGGGGAAAGTGTTTTTCAGCAAGTCGCGCAGCAAGCACGTCATGTTTTGAAAGGGCCTGGCGCAGATTCTTCAGGTCTTGGAAGGTAGGGAGTGCAGCTTAAGAATTTCCAAAAATTATGATCCGGCCTGGCCATGCACGTGTTTTGTTTTCAATGTTTTGCAATAATATGGAATAACTACTTTGGTCATGCTTGGGCCGAAATCACAAAGTCCAGAAGGATTGTTTGGGATGTGATCTACCAAAAAATATCATCGCAATCAAAAGACGACATAAACAATTATCACTTAGTTTTCTTCATGCACCTTCCATCTGCCAACCGAACAAAAAGCCTTCCCCCAACCAAAAAAACACAGGTCTCAAAAAATAGTCGTCCCCCTAGTAGTCGAAGAAACAAACAACAACACAACGAGCACACTGGTCGTCGGGACTCGCGTCGCTCCGTCGTTCTTCCCCTCGCCCTGGGCCGGTGTCAGGTTTCGAACTCGGAAGTCCCTCGCGCCTGCCGGAAACCTTGGCGGAACAACGGCAACAGGATATGGAGGCGGCAGCAAAGCAAGCGACGTCGGCGTTGAGGGACTCCCGCACCTTCGTTGGGACTCGGCCCCAAAGCGTTTGTGGATGAAAGGGTGGATGAGGTATTGAATCTCACAGTGATTATCGTGTTTTTTTTCATGCCTTTTTTGCAGACATTGGTTGACCAGGAAGGTGGATGAAGTGTGCGCAGGCAGTGGGCAACGACCAAAATATACTAAAATAATCTAAAGAGTTGTTAAGTAAGAGCGCTTAGCGTTTTGGATCCTTTTGCAGTTTTTGATTCTGCACAAATTTGTGACTGTTGCTCAACTGGACTACCACCCGGACAGTGCACGCTTGGTTTCAGGCACCAGTTGCGCCTGAATTCAACGAGGCGGAGACCCCGCTTCTCAGGCGCGAGAATGCAAATCCAACCTATATAATAGGAATGGCCTCCAACCTAAGAGCGAAAGCCTCCAATCTAGAATCGAGGAATGCTACGTGCTGTGAAGTTAGGGTTCGTCGACGTGAATTGATGTGATGGCATGTGATAGCACTACCCTGGTCTTTCGGTGACCCCACGAGGGATTCCTTTACTTCGGTGATCCCAAGAATATCAACATAGAATAGTCTTTGGACTTCTAGGGACTAGATATGCCAAACCAGTGCAAATAACATAATAAGATGCACTGTATGCTGTACAGAGTACTGTTGTACTATGTTGTACTGTTGCTCTATTCATTGTACAGAGTGCTGGTCAGCATGTCATGAGTCATGACTGTCTAGCTGTCTAGTGATGCTCATGGCTCATAGAGCATACTTGTAGGCCATAGATGTGCATCTCGTTTCAGGCTTTCAGGTATATACATGGAGCCGGGCACAGTCCCACAGAATGCGTAAAACATCGCAAACAGTGGGATCAGAATGGATCAAATTATTAGCATTCACCATATAGTCCATAGTATTTGGCCTTTCTCTTGACTTAGTAAACTACATGCAGTCTGTACGTTGCCCCAAGAAGTGTCTCACATGATCTCACATGTCAGATTCCTTCAGCCAGTTACCGCTCCAAAACACTCCAAGACGCATCAACACGCTGCATTTGCTTCCATCACCCGCGGAGGCTGGAGCCGGCACCGTGCGGATCTGAAATCCGAACCGTGGCGCAGACTTACGCTCCTCGGACGAAACACGCTCCTTCAAGCCGACCTCCTTTTCATGTTCCTTTTTGTGGAAACGATAACAGCTGGAATCAGCTGGATTTGCTCAATCATTTTGCTGTGATTTGTGTCCTGCCACTGGGGCTGTACACTTTGCCAGACTTGAGGAAGACCAGCAACTGGCTGAACCATCCAGCCCACTTCGCTGGGATCTCAAAACGGTGACCGTTGGACGAGCGGATGGCGGTTGCCCCCAGCTCAGCTCCAACGGAAATCAAACCTGTACAGAAACCCGCAAGGCAATATGGACAATAGATCCGATCACAATTCATAGAGTTCATTGATGTGGTTGTTCCGGCCAACTCTGCATACCACCTCCGGACTTCAGACAGAATCTTGAACAGTTGCCTGCGAGGGTCACAGGTGTTTGGGGATTTTCATACTGAAAGCAGCAGCCGTTCAGTGGAGGCCCAGACTTGAAAGACATGAAAAACACTTTGTGAATGTGAAGTGTTTTGGCGGGGTGACGTTGCAAATACATGTTGTAATGAGTTTTGCAATGCTTCATCACCCCTGAACGTAAACAAACCAATGTTTGCAAAAGAGAATTCACGCTGCCATCGCGAAAGAGAAGCACTGGATTCCGCAGTCATCAGTACAACATGATTTCAAGAGCCGGTTCATATTATGGTGGATCTAAGGAATCTTGCGTAGGATCCGGCAAGAGAGGATTCAGATAGGTTTGAGCCACCGCTTCGTTGATGTCCTGACGGGTTGTTTACCTTTTCCGAGGTCGTTCGCCGATCCCAGCCCTGTCCATGAGTTGGGCCGAGATGGAGGTGCCCGTGTCACATCCATCTTGTGAGCCCTTCAAAACAAAGGACGCACATAGTAAGATGTAGCAAGATGTAGCAAGAAGCTACTAGTAGCTCCTGGCATTACTAGTAGGAACAAGCAGCTACTAGCAACAAAGGGCATCGCTAGTAACAAGGGCACTACTACTAGTAGCAAAGACGCTACGAACGTAGCTCCTGGCATCGCTACCAGTAACAAAGGGCATCGCTTTTAGGAGCAAGAAGCTACTAGGCCTCCGATGATCGGAACTCCTTTTTTCATTTCTTTTTCGGGAGAGAGATGAAGAGGCAGGGTATGGTAACTCGAGCGGGGAGTGCCCAACCAATGGGTTGTGAATGATTGTTGATGTTGCTTTTGACCTACTGTATCTAAAGACACCCAAGACATTCAGGAGGTTGTTTACCGCTTGCGTTCCGCCGCCCACGTACAAAGACATTCGTTCGAGTGAGCGAGAAGACTCCAGGCGGCAGCATTGGAGCCCACACCAAAATGAATCTTGTTTGAAGATCTTGAGAGATTTGAAGATCTGAGCTTGGTTGTGTGCAAGTCAGTAGAAGTCAGTTTTGTCAGTCACTGAAAGAGGATAGGGTGGTGTTTGCGAGTTTTTGTTGATGCTTGGTGGCTTGGTGATGATTGCAGAAAGTGAAACTGAGGTTGACTGGTTAGTTAGTAAGAATACAGGGCTATACATAGAAGTGGTAATATGACTACCTTCTCAAGCTGGTTCTGTGGGGCAGGGAAGCCTACGGAGTATCCATTTATGAGAGCAGCATACGTGGAGCATCCTTCAGCAGTCAGGGCTCGGCCGTTAAATTCAAGTGTTTGTGTTTGTCACCAGGTATGACTCACTTGTTTTATTTTTTGTTGTATAGAGGGCTGGCCATGAGCATAGGTCAGGCACGATTACGACCGTGACAGCAGTGAAACATGTGTTGCGGTTTTGGTGAAACGGGCTTTGTAGCACTGGACATGTTTGCGCCCAGGTTCTGACGTGGTAAGTCCCTCGTATCCTTCAGAAGGGATGGCTGGAACCTCAGCACGAGCCAAAGGCTGGTGGATGAGCTAATCACTATCCTGACAAAGATGGCAGCCATGGTTTGACCTAGTGACTCAGTGCGTTTCCTCGCAGTGCTGTGCCATGCTGTGCCCATGAACTCTGTTTTGGATGGTTTTGGTTGTCGCCACTTTCATCCACAGATCTCCGCAGTCTTGCTTCAATTGGCCATCCTTCCTCATGTGTTCAGTTTCGTGTGTCATGTTCATTCATGTTCCATGTTCCTCATCCGCTCGCTTCCACCCTCCGGCTTCACCGACTCCGGCGGCGGCTTCGCCAGGCTTCGCCGGGAGCCTCCAGCCGCACCGGCCGCAGCGAGGCTTTCAGGCGCCCAGTCGGATCTACACTACACCGGAGCCGTTAAAACACCGGTGTTGGGTGGCTAAGTTGCAGTTGGACATGTGCAACATTGTGCAGTTGAAGTGGGGGAAACAACTTTAAAAACAACTCACTTTAGAGGTGTTTCAAATGTGTACATGGCCCTGGCGATGGTTTTCAGCAATACATAAGTATCAATTGGTTTTGATGCTGGCTAGGTGCGAAAGACTTTTAATGCACATGTTGTGCTAAGATAAGCGTAAGTGTATACTTTTGCAATGGGCTCAGCGTTACATCATTCAAGGAGGTGCACCACAACCTGGGTGCTGTGGGTGCTGGAACCTTTTGTTAGTTCCTTGCAGCTGGTCGGAAGGGAGGACTTTGTCCCTACGATGTGTGCCCTGCAGGCAGGGATTTGAAGCAGCAGGGATCCTCAAGCGCAGCAGCAAACGCCAGATGTTTGCAGTGATAGTCTATAGTGGTTTGAATGGTTTGCCAGTGCAAGTCAGTGTTGTACGATGCCGCGGTTCAGTGTGCCGCATGGGCATGCATGGGCATGTTGTCGAAGCAATGGCAGCACCAGTAAAAAAACGTGAATTCTTGAAGCCAAATGCATGTCCTTGCTTTCCGTGCCACCCTTTGCTTAGGAGTTGCCTGCTATGTTTTCGGGCCTTTTTCCACATGTTCCAAATCGAATCAATCTACCCTCCAACAAACATGGAAGTGGAACATGGCCCCGAAAGGAAGATTGCTTTCCTCTTCTCACTGTTTCTTTTTTTTCTGCTTCCATGCCTTAAACGATGATAGTTTCCATTATGGTTTCTCTGGGTTTTCCTCTACTCACTGGGTTTGTTTCAGGAACGCTTGGCCTCTCCGCGTCTGAGGCTCCGCAGTGGGAGCCGGTGGCCCCGGTGAGGCAGAGGCACCGGGAATGGCATGGGCACAGGCATCGTGGTGACCGATTCTTTTTGTATTTATCTTGTCTTATCACTGTTATGATATGTGATTAAGTTTTATCATGTCTTATCACTGTTTTGTAGTTGTGTTAGGTGGTTAACGTGTCATGTTTGTTGTTTGCTTCCACACTGGCTTTGCTTCCTTCTGATTGTCACTGTGATCGTGATTCTGATTCATGATGCTCGTCTCAAGACCGAGCGCACCATGCAAGCTTCATTGAGCTACTCCTGCAGGTCACCATCTCCAGTCTACTGTCAAAGCCTCAGCAGCTCGGTTGAGCGAAAAACAAGCTATCCTCGGTGGCACGAGGGGAAGCGTCTCCCCGGTCACCAGGCATCCAGCGCATATTCGATTCGGCTGCTTCATGTTACTTCAAGACTGAGGGAACGTGGAGGACAACAGGAGTCAAGAGGTACTGGTAGCAGCGACAACATGACAACATGTAAGCTTAGGAGCACACATGACAACCGAAACGATTAACAGACGGATCAACAGGTTTTGGAAACAACGCCGAGACAATGATGTGAACGTGCAGTTGTGCAACTTGCGTTTGGTTGGGTTTCCCAGTAGCCCCGGTATCCCTGGACAAAGTAACATTGGTCCTTTAGTCATTTCAGTATGAAGGATATGCTCCGAGGAACCCAGCACTGTCCATAGCACCCGAGGCATTGCATCACCCCCAATATCGCCATCACTCCCATGGTCGGTGCCACTTCAGGCAGCAGCTGAGAGTACCTGAACACTGAACAACCCATCAATCCTTGTGGGTGCGTGTTTGAAGGACTGTTTAATCAGACTGGCTGAGTAGCTTGGAGATGTCTCATGTCAAGCAGGAAAGAAAATACTATCAAGCTCGTCAGACGAGCCAATGAATGACAAGTCAGGACTTTCAGCAAGACAAAAGAGAGAGCACTAATGACAACTATGTAGTTCATGCCAAGCATCTTCGGGTCATTGCTGGTGCAGGTGCAGATGCCGCTGATTCAGCAGCCGGTCCGCATGGTTCAGCAGGTGGTTCAGCAAGTGGTGCAAGTGCCACTTCAGCCAATCCAGTCGCCAGTTCCGAACGCAGCTCGGCCAGTTCCAGTTCCGCAAGCAATGCAAGGGCTCCCAACGGTGCAGGCGGGGTTGGGTTCGAACATGGTGCAAAAGATGCACATGGTGTGCATGGGTACAAAGCCAACTCACGAACATGAATATGGGAAGAATGGATCTGAGCTGCCGGACCACATCGTTATTGCCAATTCCGTGTGGCATCTAAAGGTTCAGCCCGCAAGTCAGCCTGCTTCCGAAGCAATGACTCAAGTAGACTCTACTAGTCTAGAGAAGCTTCCATGACTCTTTAGATCCCATGAATGATATTTTATTTAGTACTTGCTTGGCTTGGATTTGAATACCTGTTCAGTTCTCAGCTCCTTCCCTCAGCTAGCGCTGTAGGCGACCCCCAGCCCTAGCCAGTGCTCCAGTCGCCCCAGCCAGTGCGGAAACTCAGAAGCGGCTCCAGCGCGGAAGCGGACTATCAGTCCATTCTCACAGTGTGGCTGTTTGTTTGCCAGTAGAGGCCTTGACTCGATAGATGGCCATGACAGCTGTTTGCAATCGGGCTGTTGGTCATGGTTGAACCATTGGCGTTCCACCATGTTCCACCGATTTTTAGCCCAGGGTGGCAGAGGTTACTTGAGTCGCTTGCCAGGACGATCCAGGACTCATTTGGCGTCCATGTCATGACAGGCCTCACTGACCCAAGAACCACAGGATTCTTCTTTCAACACCTCGTGATGTTGTTCATTATGATAATTGGACCCAAGAAGCCGCGTTCTTGCCAAGGTAATATGTGCCTTCAAATGCCATTCTCAATCAATCTGACCAGGCTTGGCTCCCTTGTGATGAGAAGATCAGCGATTAGGATGCCACAGATCTGCAGGAATGCAATTAGGTCAAAGAAGTCAAACAAGAAAGAAAGCAATACTTAGAAAACACCAACACACACACAATACTTCACACTTGCATTGCCCAGAAAGCATTGGCTGCCAGGAAGCATGCCATTTGGCATGCCATAACCTCTTGCATGCAAATAACAGGATTCGCTCCATCCTGGCTGCACGATCCAACGTAATGCCATGTTTGCGTCGCCGGTCCACCTGCCGCATGGAGTACCACGAGTGCGGTCCTTGCCGCACCTGCATCACTGGCACGGAGAAGGTGCAGAGACGGTGGGGAAAGGTGAATTCATAGATTCAACACTCATAACGTAGAAGTCGTGAACTGAAAGCTTCCAAAGGAGCAAGACTTCTGTAGACCCTAGGAGCATTATGAACTGTCATCACTTATTATATATGGAACCAGACGGATTTTGGTGGTGTCTTTCTTGGACAGGTTGAAACCCATGAGACCAAAACTCCACACTTGGCCATTTTCGACTCTGCGCATGGCCCGTTGCTCCACCACCATGCAGGCACAGCACCAGGCACTTCATGGCCTGGTATAGCCACGCGTGGAGTGGTGATCCTGGCAGCGGCGGGATGGGCAACGAGACGCCCGTGCATCTGGCAGCGCCGTTGTTCTTCGCGTACCCGACGACAGGGACTCATGGAATCGCGTGTTTTGGGCCGGGATGGAAGCCTTGAGTCAATGAGAATCGCTTCTTTTTGCAGATCTGTCGATATGAGACCCAGACACTCCATGGGACTGCCACATATGCCTACATTGGGGTGGTTTGAGGAGTCAATGTAGGCATATATGGCATCATGGAGTGTCCGGGAGATATATGAGGATGATAGGAAAACACTCTCTAGACTCAGTCTGACGCAATGTCCGGTGCACTGATGCATGCCTAGCGTGCTTTGTCGGTGTTTCCATTTGAACTCGACTCTTGCCGTCAAAGATTTGGTCCGTCTTCTCTCGACACCTTTTGCTAAGTCCAGAGGTTGAACTCAAATTCGAGGTGATGCCCTAAACTGTTACTGTAATACGATCCAATACTTGCAAGGTTCAAAATGTTCATTGCACACAGGCTGGAGGCAAAAGAGACATGCTGTTGGAGGGGGTACGTGTTAATGGACTACTATGAAATATTCCACCCTTTGTCACCTCTGTCACTGTATTGCCAGCTGTTCCAATTATAAATATGCATGGATCTGGGTTGCCGCAATTGCCTTTTGAAGCCAAGGAGTCCGAGCAGCGTGGCAGTGGTGGGGAGCCAAAAGTTCTGAGGACAGATGGGCAAAGTCCGAGCAGGGGTTAGTGATGTGTGATTTGTTATATTCTAAGTGAGCCTGGCATGTGATCAGCTTCTTTGAGTTATTGCTCCGCGAGATGCAAGGGCAACTTACGCAACTGGCGGACTCGAGCCAGTCACGCTGAACTCGAGCCAGTCACGCTAAATCATCAGAAGTGCTCATACTTTCCCTGCCCGGCCCTTCCTTGTAACAGTTCCTTTTCGGTCTGAACAAACGCACCCGTTCCGTCTCTGCGCAGATGGTCGGTGGGTCTCCTTTCGCACCGGTCTCTGCGAGGCATGGCCCGAGAGGCTGGAGGACTTGATGTCCAAAGCCAGGGGATTTCTCAAGGCGCCTCGTGGACCTGACATCAGTGAGGGATGACTAGGGATGGTATTTTGGGGCGGGGTGTTTTTTCTGTGTACCGGTTTTCTTAAGGATGTGTGTGTGTGTGATTTTTCTGTGTGTGTGTCACACTCTGTTCCTAAGAGTTTTCCACAAGCAGGGGACCAGGCAGGATGCATCGTCGCCTGGTCAACGAAGCTGGCGATGCATCCGAGGATATGGAAATGGGACGCCATTTCCACGTACCTGCTAAAAACTGTTGTTTACGCTGTGACTCCACTTTTCCTTTTTTGTTTCCATGGTGGTTCTTCGCATGATATGCCCCAAAACAGGTTTCCTTAGCTTTGGTAAAGTGCTAGTGGGTTTGTTAAACATTTCTGTTCTTCGGACCCTTTCGCCTTAGCGTTCTTGCAGTAAAGTGCTAATGCAGTAACTAGCTTCCGCAGTCACGCAAAACCTTTGTTAAACATCTTCAAGTTTTCGGACTCACTCGCCTTTCCGTTCCTTCACCCTTTTCGACCTGGGAATAGAGTCAACTGCAAACCCATTGTCAAAGTGTGTGTGTCACCCTCTGTTTCTAAGAGTTTTCTGCAAGCAGGGGGACGGGTCACCAGTGATACTGCCCGTCCAACGAAGAGGGTATCGGCTGGTGCTGAAGCAGTGGAGGACGCTCCACTGTGTACCTGCATCCAACGCAATGACTCCACTGGTTTCCCTTGCCGCAGTTGGTTTGTTTCCATGGTGGTTCTTCGCGTGATATCCCCCAAAACAGTTAATTCAGTCTGCTAAGTAATCAGTAACTAGTTTTCTGCAGTCGCGCGTCAACCTTCGTTCAAAAACCTTCAAGTGCTTGGACGATTCACCTTGCCGTTGAGCCATTCCTTTCCTCGGGGCATTGATGTAACTGCAACCCCATTGTCTACGTGTGTGCCGCTCTGTCGTCCCACTGGGTGCAGCGTGTGAATCCCGTCACTGGGGCGCTGAGACCATTCCGGACTACATTCAGCGTTTTTCTGCATGCGTTGGATTGTCTTTTCTGAACTGAATGCTCAACCCAATGAATTTCCTGCAACAAACTGCCGAGTTTACGGAGACTTGACGCCGCCGGGCCTATGGAGAATAAACCCCCCCCCTCTAATTAGGGCAGAGGGAAATGGTACTCGACACACTTGTGTGTCGGTGCCTTTCCCTCTGTTGTCCCTGTTCTAGTCTACTCTATCCGGGCGGTTTAAGACTAAAGTCCCGCTCCCTAACTATTGCACCTAATTAGCTTCCGCTAAGTAATCAGTAACTCCAGAGTGCTAGGTATTCAAACACACACACACACGGACGCACACATGTACATACATCCCCTCCCTGCCCCCCACTTTCTTTCTTGTGTTTTTCGTCGTTTCTTTGGCTTTCTTCATTTCAGGCTTTTTAGGTGGTTCTTGAGGCCCGTTTCCCTACCCCAGTCAAGGGCTAAGTAGTCACTTTTCGCTACCCCTATCTTTCTCTCCTGCCGTTTTAGCGCGGCTCTTTCTGGTTTTCTTTCTCTCGTTTCTAAAGCTTTTTAGGTGCCTATTCAGGTTTTTTGAGAGCGCCGCAAAGCGGCCGGGTGTGTGTGTGTCACCCTCTGTTTCTAAGAGTTTTCTGCAAGCAGGGGGCCGGGTCACCACCGATACTGCCCGTCCAACGAAGAGGGTATCGGTTGGTGCTGAAGCAGTGGAGGACGTGAGGAACAACGCCTTGGACTTGCTATCACAGTGGCATATCCCACACCCGCATCGATGGCCACTGACTATCATCATGGAGATTTGGGAGGAGATCCACTGGCGGTTTCTGGAGGAGCTCAAGGACGTCCCTGAGAGTCCTCAAACCATCACTCTCAATGAATTGAAGTTCCACGCGCTACTGCCCGGCCCAGACGGTCAAGCATGGTTGAGGATGCCATCCACCTTCGATATCGAGAAGCCGGATTCGTGGTTCCAGTCAGCTTGCCCCGGATCAACCGCAAACAGGATCGCCTCCTCTGGAACATGACGTGGAAAGGGGGACCCAGGGACAGGCCGGCGTCAATGCCAGCAGAGGGTGCCGGGAGCGAGAGGAGGAGACAAGCCGACGCTCAAGAGTTTGTGGGGCCCAAAGCTGACGCCAGAGGAGGAAACTACTTTGCTGGGGAAATCTATGCCACATCGGGTGCAACGCGCAGGACTGCCAACGATCTCATGAAGAAGGTCTTCGGGGGCCCTTTGAAAGCCTGGATGCCTGTGTCCAAATGCAGTTGCTGCGACGTGGGGGACTGAAGAGGATGAGGATGGAGACTCCGACATCAGTGGCGACCAAGATCAAGGACCTCCGCTCCAAGTTGCACAAGGACAAGTCGGAGAAGATCCAGGATGGGAAGAAACGCGGCCGAGCCGGGACCACAAAGTCCGGGGAGGAGCAAGGGGCAACAGAAGGAGAGGTTGAGGACGGAGATCACGGGGGCAGAAGAACGACGTGAAGAACCACCATGGAAACAAACCAGGAAAAGTGGAGTCACAGCGTGGACAAAAGTTTCGCCAGTACGCTTTCAGCCCTCCCCAGTGTTGGCCATCCGCCACTGGGGAGGGGGATGGCCCACGGCTTTGCAAAATTAGACCAATATAACCAAACTCTTAGGAACAGAGTGTGACACACGCACACACTTAGACAATGGGTTTGCAGTTACATCATTTCCCCGAGGAAAGGAATGGCCCAACGGCAAGGTGAATCGTCCAAGCACTTGAAGGTGATTGAACGTATACTGATTACTTAGCAGAGTGAATTAGCGCCGTGCAAGGAAACCTGTTTTGGGGGATATCACGCGAAGAACCACCATGGACTTCGCGTGATATCCCCCAAAACAGGTTTCCTTAGCTTTGGTAAAGTGCTAGTGAGTTTGTTAAACATTTCTGTTCTTCGGACCCTTTCGCCTTAGCGTTCTTGCAGTAAAGTGCTAATGCAGTAACTAGCTTCCGCAGTCACGCAAAACCTTTGTTAAACATCTTCATGTTTTTCGGACTCACTCGCCTTTCCGTTCCCTCATTCCTTTCTTCGTGGAACAGATGTAACTGCAAACCCGCTATCTAAGTGTGTGCCGCTGTGTCGTCCCACTTGGGTGCACAGTGTGGTTCCCGGCACTGGGGCGCTGAATTCACGCCGGACGACCACTTAACTGACTTTGTTGCTTCCTGCGCGCGTTGGATTATCTTTTCTGATTTTCTTCTCAACCACTGAGTTTCCTGACTCGATACCGCCGGGTACACGGTGATTCGAAGCTGCCGGGCTTACGGAGAATAAACCCCGACGAGTTCTCTACCCCAAACACCCCACACTTGTGTGTCGGTGCCTTTCCCTCTGTTGTCCCTTTTCTAGGCTCTAGAGTGCTAGGTATTCATACACACAAACGGACACACACACATGTACATCACCTCCCTGCCCCCCCCACTTTCTTTCTTGTGTTTTTTGTCGTTTCTTGGGCTTCTTTCATTTCAGGCTTTTTGGGTTGTTCTTGAGGCTCGTTTCCCTACCCCAGTCAAGGGCTAAGTATTCACTTTTTGCTACTCCTATCTTTCTCTCTTGCCCTTTTAGCGATGCTCTTTCTGTTTTTCTTTCTTGTGTTTCTAAGGCTTTTTAGGTGCCTATTTAGGTTCAGCGCGAGAGCGCCGCAAAGCGGCCCTCTGTGTGTGTCATACTCTGTTAGTTTGGTTATTGTTCTAATTTTGCAAAGCCGGGGGCCATCCCCCTCCCCAGTGGCGGATGGCCAACACTGGGGAGGGCTGAAATCGTACCGGCGAAACTTTTGTCCACGCTGTGACTCCACTTTTCCTGGTTTGTTTCCATGGTGGTTCTTCGCATGATATCCCCCAAAACAGGTTTCCTTAGCTTTGGTAAAGTGCTAGTGAGTTTGTTAAACAGTTAAACAGTTCCGTTCTTCGGACTCTTTCGCCTTACCGTTTTTGCAGTAAAGTGCTAATACAGTAACTAGCTTCCGCAGTCACGCAAAACCTTTGTTAAACATCTTCAAATTTTTCGGATTCACTCGCCTTTCCGTTTCCTCATTCCTTTCTTCGTGGAACAGATGTAACTCTAAACCCATTATCTATGTGTGTGTGTCAACCCCTGTACCTAAGGGTTCCGATGCACAGTGATTCCAAGCAGGGGGCCGGAGCCAGGTGGGGGGTCTCCGGCCAATGAAGACGCCCCCCACCTGGGTGAAAACGTACCTGCGTTTTTCCAATTTAATTTTTAATCAAGCTCTAAAGTGCTAATGCAAGATGAAAAACAATGTTGAAACATCTCCAATATTCCGGACTCCATCGCCTTTCCGTTCTGCATTTTTGAGTCAAGGTCTAGTTGCACTAAAGGGAAACTTTTGTTAAACTATACTGTTCTCGCTGACCCATGCGCCTTTCTGTTCCCTCACCTTCCTTCTCAACGTGGGAACTGAGTGTGAACCGCTCAGCCGTCCCACTTGGGTGCTGGGTGTGATCCCCGTGAAAGGGGCGCTGCAACCATGCCGGAACTCATCCCTCCCTTTTATAACTGAATCTTTCCACTGACTCACCTGGTTCCACTTCCATAACTGAATTCGCTGACCAAAAAGCCGCCGTGCTTTCACGGTGAACAACCACGGCCGCAGGGCCAAAAAACGGAATTCCACTTGCGGTCAGGCATGTTTCCCTTCCCCCCCCCCCGGCCGAGTTCTACTCCCCACCGAATTAGGGCAACGCAGGGAAATGGTACTCGACACACTTGTGTGTCGGTGCCTTTCCCTTTGTTGTTCCTGTTCTAGTCTTCTCTACCCGGGCGGTCTAAGGCTAAAGTCCCGCTCCCTAACTATTGCATTTAATTCGCCTCGGCTAAGTAATCAGTAACTCTAGAGTGCTAAGTAGTCATACACACACACGGACACACACACCTGCTACATACACCCCCTCCCTGCCCCCCCCTTTCTTTCTTACGCTTTCGGTCGTTTCTTGGGCTTTCTCTCAGGCTTTTTAGGTTGTTCTTGAGGCTCGTTTCCCTGCCCCAGTCAAGGGCTAAGTATTCACCTTTTTCTACACCTATCTTTCTCTCTTGCCCTCTTAGCGCTGCTCTTTCTGTGTTTCTTTCTTTTGTTTCTAAGGCTTTTTAGGTGCCTATTCAGGTCGTTCGCACGAGCGCCGCAAAGCGGCACCGTGTGTGTGTCAACCCCTGTACCTAAGGGTTCCGATGTACAGTGATTCCAAGCAGGGGGCCGGAGCCAGGTGGGGGGTCTCCGGCCAATGAAGACGCCCCCCACCTGGGTGAAAACGTACCTGCGTTTTTCCAATTTAATTTTTAATCAAGCTCTAAAGTGCTAATGCAAGATGAAAAACAATGTTGAAACATCTCCAATTTTCCGGACTCCATCGCCTTTCCGTTCTGCATTTTTGAGTCAAGGTCTAGTTGCACTAAAGGGAAACTTTTGTTAAACTATACTGTTCGCTGACCCATGCGCCTTTCTGTTCCCTCACCTTCCTTCTCAACGTGGGAACTGAGTTAACTGCAAACCAATGTCAGAGTGTGTTTTAAATGTGTGTGTTTCACATGTTGGAACGAACCAAGGACAGCAGACTGACAAATTAGATTTGGCTGATAGCTTCAGACTTTAACTAAACCATGAACGGTCCATACATTTCAGATGGGTTGAGCCGAACCCACTAAGATATGGCAGCGTTCGGCTCGATCGCTTTTGGGTTCCTCAGCTGCTCATCGTTGTGAGGACTTCTTTGGCCACGACGAATACCGAGAAGAACAGGAGGAGGCCTTGAGAGTTGCTTTGAACCACCAGGACAGGGTTTTTCCACCGGAAACCCTGTGACAGAATGGCATTCTGGCATTCGGCAGAAACACCGAATCTGTGAACCGCCGGACCCGTTTTAGATTCCAGTTGGACATGTTGGAACCAGCCTCATGAGATCTCAGGACCATGAAATTTGGACCGCGGGTCTCACTCATCCATTGCAACATCGACGGGTTTCATCGATTTGAATTCAAATCGGGACTACGGTACCCCAGTGAGTTGCTGATATGTTTGATTCGATACATGTACATGAAGTAGGTGTCTCTACTGACTCCAGTTGTGTTTGAAGCTTCAAACATGTCGCATGATGCATCTAATCTTTGCTTCCAGGACCTTGAGATATACTGGCCCACAGCTGCTGGAAAGTCTTTGGTTTATCAACTAGCAGCTGGTTGGCATGCTTCATTGTGTCGAGTATGATCAGTATGATTTATGCAATGTGTCGTGGATATTTGATGGTTTTGGATATGCTTTCAAGATGACGCTTTGACATCACATGAGATAGATTGAGATAGATGTTCCATGATTTTTCACTGATGGAGAAGTCTCCGAAGCTTCCGTCATCGATGGGCCTTGTTACTAGTAGCTTCTAGCTACTAGTAGCAAATTAGCTACTAGTAGCGATGCACTTTGTTACGAACGTAGTCATTGAGGTCGCATTGCTCAGCTGGCAAGAAAAGCGTGGCATTGTCATCGTCGTGGAACCGACCATCGCTTTGATGCAGGAGACCGTCCCTCGACACGAGACACGAGACCGTCGTGACGAAAGAAGACCGTCCCACGGAGTCGAATAGGTAGACTCCCACCCGTATAATTTGACCGTATGTGTCCTTGCGAGCCTTTCCGGCCAACTTCAGAAACCGGAATCTATAAGTTTGTTATAGTCTTACTAGTGGTTACTTATTGTGAAACGTTGGTACAACTCCACCATCCTCAACTCCAGCAGTACGTGGGTCTTTGCTGACCGAGAAAAGTCTCTTGTTATGTTGCCTGGAGACCTTTTGATATCATTGCATGGTTGCATGTTACTAGCGATGGATCTCCTTCTCCAATCTGTTTAGTCTGAATCTTCTCTTGACAATCAATGTGCTTCTGCGTTCATCCTTCAAACATCAGACAATATTATTAAACGATCATAATTAGCTGTAGCCATTGGCTATCATGTGCATTCACAAGCACCTTCAACATTGAGGGGCTAGTTTTGTTTCCCATCCTTGGTGTTGCCAGGATCAGGTTCAGCAGTTCGAGGAAAGAGCTAATGCATTTGGCAATATTGGAGCAAAAGCGTGCTTACTTGGCTCCGCTCAGACTGACAAGGAAGTGATCGACGGCGCTGTTGCAGGCGACTACTGCCTCATGGCGACTACTCAACAACAGAACATTCCAAGAAAAAATCCCAGCCTGCCCCGCTCTTGAACCAGGATGATCCTGAACGGAACGTACATAATGTTCAAAAAGCGGTTCTATAGTCTAGTAATTATCGAAGTAATTTGAGGTAATTCTTTGCTTGCAAAGTCCTTTCGCCTGTGTTTTCTAATTCTTTTTTGTTGCTGATGCCACTGTTGTACATGCCACTTCTGTCTTTCGCCAAATCTTGTGGACGGCTTTTGGAGTCCTTTGGCGGACTCGGAGCTGTCCGATGAATGAAACAATCCCAACAATCCCCGCATGCATTGTGGAAGCCACAACTTTCACATGGTTAAGTATTTTAGTACACACACACATTTGTTTAGTATTCGATCTCCCCTGGCCCAATGGGTAGACTGGTCGATTGTCCTTCAAACCGGATCGAACTGGGAGATCCCCCTTCAATCTACAGACCCACCTGGGTATGGGGGAAAAATGCCATCGGCCATCGGGCCATGAGGTGACTCTTGATACCGGCACGTTTCGAACACTCTGAGCGGCCGCGCCGACTGCGGCGCCAAATCGAGTCGAGACTGGTCGAAGCTTTTCTAAGGCTTGGTCTACATGTGTCCCGAAAGCGTCACGCAAAGGTATTTGCAGGTGGGGATCGGGATTGTTAACGGTTCGGAAAAGATACACGACTTGGAAGTGCATGCTTTGGAAAGGATTTACCTTGTTGATCGTTTTGGACACTCACTGTTCAATAATTGCACAACTTGGCATGTTCCTATGCCTTGCTGAAGGCCTTTAGGTCATTGTATGACAGACACTTGACTGCACCGAGTTCATTTCGAGAAGTCCGGCAGATTCGTCTCAGATCCAGCATTTTCTCTAGAAGCAGGACCTGTTTGGACGGTAGGATGGAACTTGCAGTGGTGCAACTTACAGATTCCCACGATTGAGGAGTAATGTCTTGTGTTTTGTTCTAGTGCGAGCACAATGCTTTATGCCGAAGGAAATGGAATGAACAATCTGGGGTTGACAAAATATCTAATGCCTGTCGGACATTACAGTGTGGTGTGAACAACACAACAATTTGACAATATGGCTGTGGCTCAAAACTGGGACACCCTGGTTGACCACCGAAAACGACCATTAATAGACTACTGGGAAGGTCAACCTATTAGGGATTAAGGGTCCCAGTTTTGATCCGCTGCCATATTGTGGCATTGGCCCTATTTGGTCCTTGAAGCGCAAGGACACCTGCCAAGTGGATCAAATTCAGATGCATGTATTGAACTCTAGTTTTCACTTGTTTTGGTGACAAGGAAGCAGAGGAACATCTGCAGACCCCGATGAGGCCCCAGGGCCACAGTGCTGCCTTCAAGCTGAGGTCAGCGCATGTCGCTTTTCGTGATCGATGAAGCCTGTTACATCCCGCTTTGGGGCAATTATTTCCGTCCCGCCTTCCAAAATCTGGATTTTCTTCGGGTGGCGTTTCTTGGATGAGTTTCAGTGTGGGAAGACTGCTGTGGTTCCAGGATGCTCCTGGAGATGTGACTGGTCATTTGCGGTACGGACGTTCCGTTGTCCTGTTTGGATGGGAAGCGAATGGACGGGAGGAGCGTTCATAGTCCAAGTCAGTCATGACCTGTCACACCTGGTGTACGTGTGCTTCACACCAGGTACCCCAGTGTGCCGATCCTCGCGCTCTCTGGCACTGCCCCTCCAAAACGTCAGTGGCGGATACGTGAGTCCCTGAAGCTTGAGAACCCAGTGAGATGCTTGGAGAAAAGATGCAGTGAGAAGTATAGTGAATTGAGAGTAGATGGCACAATCCCTAAAAGGTGGTTCATATGGACCCCCATCTAAAAGTCATCTTGGGGTGCCCCAGTGCCATCTACTCTGAAACCACTGTAGTGAACACGGCCACGGCCACTGCCGCTACTGAAGGATATTGCCGCTACTGAAGGACTGCCGCTACACGGCCACTCATCACATGAGGGCTTGATCTTTCTTGTGATTCACGGCACAATACAGGCACGGATAAGTATAGAGTTAAAGTAATTCTTTTGTTTTTGCAGTGGAGGCCAGCTTTGAGGCCTTCATTGATCCTCTATAAATACAATACACCAAGTTAATTGTGTGTAGAGGCTCGCTTCTCTGAGAACGCACTGCAGCCATATGCATTCTGCCCTTGTGATGACAGTGCTTTGTTAAACAAAAAAACACATCCCAAAGATGAACAGCCAAAAGGTAGAACGGTAGAACGTCCAAAAGAGGCTTCATGAGGCCTTTCGTCTCGTTTTCTGTATGAAGGCCCTGTACGGGCATATGGGCACCAGGCACCCGTTGTTCGATTGTCACGGACCAACTAACCGGTGGCCACCTGGAATGATCAATGATTTGGGAATCATTGGAATCACCTTTTTTCCGTTTGCATTTCGGATTTGGATCTGGGGATCCAGGATGATTTTGTTTTGAAGCTTAAGGATGCTTAAGGTACAAAAAGGATTCGGATTCTGGCCCATTGAATCCCATTGATGTGTATAACTATGATTCAGAGGGTCCATCCTTGCTCCCAGGAAGTCGAAGGCGCGAACCGTGGATCAAGCAGACATCCAGAGCCGCATGTTCTCGGAGTAGGGCAAGGGCAAGGTGTCGTGTTTAGATGATTTTAGGCACCGAGAAATTGTCCAGAAGATGTGTTTGTTTGGACAAGTTCAACGACCCTGTTGTAGAGCCATACCGTGAGAGAATGTGAGACGTTGGTCACTTCGACTCATTAAGTGATGTTAGTCATCATACAATAATAATCAATAATATATGATGCTTGCGCTTTCGTTATTGGTTCTTTCCTTCTGCGGCTCATTTTTGTGTTTGATGAAATGGCAGTCACACTGAGTTCCAAGAGTACCCTCGGTCGTTACCATCCTACTGATTTGTTTGATCATTGTATCCATCGAATCAAATGCAGTGTCCGGCGGCCAGGCCAATGTTCCGCCCCAATCTGCATTTGGCCACCCAATGTTGCATAATGGAACCTTGTCGAAAACAATTTGCCACCAGATGTGCAAAGCTCAAGCTGTTTGGTGAAAGAGGGAAGCAGTGGAAATTCTGTGGAATTGTAAGCATCCAATTGCAGATCCTAGGAAAAACCTTGGAAGACTTGGAGTTGGGAATGCACAATCCTGTACTACAGTGGATTCTTCACGAAAGCTGAGACATGTCCTGATCCCCCCGCTCCCATGGTCCAGTCGTGCATTGTACACTGCATTGTTTTGAAGGTCGTTTCAAGAGTGTTTGTTTGATACGGCTTGCCAAGTCAAGACTTCACCTAAATTCCTGGCCCTCCAAACCCGGTTGTATTTGACTTCCTGGAAGAAGGATGGGTTCCTCGCATTCGACTTGTCGAGCCCCGGAGCCTGAGGGTTCAGAATTTATGGAACAGCACTGAACAGCTTGTGTTCTCCCAAGGCAGAAGAAAAATTTGCCGTCATACTGGATCTTCTGGACAAAGGGAACTATCCTGTGATTTTGGCTGCAAAGCTTGTCTCCTCGTCGCCCATGCCAACCTCCAGCTGCCCATGAGTCACATGTGTTCTCGGCGTCCAAGTCCAGCTCACAGCAGGTCAAAAGATTTGCGAGAATTTCTAGCCATCATCCACAGCTAGCCGGCCTGCTACGTGTATCTTTATACCTAGTCTTTATAACTTCTGCAGAGTAATTTACATGCATTCTGCCTGGAAATAGGGTCCTGTATGGTCCTGTGTTCCAAGTACCCCAAATCCAATTGTAAAGAGTCTTCTTCCGTGTTCTAGCCATCACGGCAGCACCACTTCGATTTCTACCGCAGGGTTGGCCATCCAATCTCGTCGAGATTCTCACACTGTAGGCTCTGGTGTATGTGCCCACCAAGAAGCTTGGACGCACGTTGGGAGCTCAGAGAAGCCGCCGATGTATGCGGCTTCAACTCAGAAAACCGCATACTCGCTGGCCGGTTAAGGTCCAACATGTATTTGTTCGTTTTAAATCATCACAACACTGGAAAGCACCGACCCTCAGAGCGTCCCTCTCTCTTTGGGGGGTGGATTTTTGGTTGTTAGGTGCAAGCTTCAGCTCGATTGGCATTGTTAGGGCGATGAAATCATTGACAGACGAGAGATGGCACAAAATAAAGCACGAGATGAGAATGATGAGACGAGCTTTTTGTACGTTGATGAGAACAAACGAACACAAACAACATCGAGCGGCGTTCGCCAACATGGTGCTTTTTTTTCGTGTCTGACTGTAGGGTACGACAATACCTCGAACGCGCCTTGGGCCGCCTTGGACCACCACACGGACCTGATGCCGATTTTCAGGATGTGAGTGAAGATGAAAGTGGCATGAGAATGTTTTGTGGATCTGATTCCGGCAGAATGAACGTGTTTTTTGTGCCGGCATGTGTGTGGATCAGGTGAATTTTCTTTGTTTTTCTTTTCTATTGCCTGAAAGCGTGATAGGGCGAATGTGATACAGGACATCGCCAGCTGCACGAGTCATCAGTTCCTGCCCTGTGTTGGTTCTCAGAAAAGAAACAAACATACAGTAACTTTTTGAGAAAGGCTAGGTGTTGATTTCTTCGCACAGTGAGAACCGGACAGGGGCACACTGCTTAAAAGTGATAGCACGGGGTTGATCCGTGCTGAAACCTAGGTGCATCCAAGCTATCCATTGGGTACATTGACGGCGCCTTTGCCTGCAGCAAGGTATTGTTTGGAGAGGCAGAGGTCTAAATGAAATCTAGGGACTGCGGATGAATTGTTGTGGGTTGAGTGGTCGCTACTGCAAACATAGCAACATGAGAGTTACTGTAGTTGGACAGTGGAGTAGGGATCGCTCCAGGCTCGCATTTTTTGTGGCCATGTTGATTGAAACAGTGCAGTCCGAGTTGGACATGCAAGAACGTCAAACTCTACCCACGGTGAATGCAGCTCTACCCACGCAAGACCTGAAGAAAAAGCCGCCGTCGGGCCGTATGAACTCTCATGATGTGACTGGTTGAGAGGTCAAATTATAGCTGCGGGTCAGCAGTCAGCAGCACGTGATTTGCAAGTTGCGAGATGGAGGACTTTGAGAATGATATCAGGAATCAATCAAAAACTGTATAATTGTTATTTAGGAGTCTACTGGAATTCATCCGCGATTTGTTTGGAGGTTTAAGTTGACCATAAATGGTGCGGTCAAAACGTGAATTGGATTGGGTTCACATGTGTTTGAGCAAAGCGGGATTGGGCCAAATAGTGATGCATATGTGTTGGGCCAATAGCCCTGTGTGAGTCCTTGTGTGTTGGGACTAGCAGCAATCATACCAGTTTTAGGCTGGGAAACTAGCCCATGGCCTTCTTCAGACGCATGTGTGTGGCAAGAGGTGTCATCCGGAGCCATAGTGGATAGGTTGCAGGGCATCTTTGCAATTCCCTCTGTCAACACAAACTACTAATTTATAATATAGAGAGATTAGCTTACATGTAGATTCATGTGACTCGCACACAGCTGTGTTATGTTGCCATCCAGAACACCCAGGTGATACACCTGCAGACCTCCGGGCAATCCATAATCTTGTGACTTGACAGCGCAACATGACCTTTAAAGCATCCGTCTCAGTGCGGCTTGCGAGTGCTCAAAAAATGCTTGCAGGATTTCAAAGGTGGTGGTAAGTGTACGTATGATGGTCTATTTATTCATGCAAGCTTTGAGGAAATCGTTGCTGTCCTTTTTGCATCGGGGAAGAGCTTGAATGTACTCCAGGCTCCCAGGACCCTATTTATGCACTGTGCAGAGCGTTGTAGTAACACACCCAGTTGAACATCCATTCAAGTGGGATTATGAGTTTTCTTTGAGCCCTGAGCCATCGGAAGTCATGGGCTATTTCCCTGCTGAGACCATGCCGCTGGAGTGTTCTGCCATCGCACTATAGAAAAATATCCTCTCACAGCGCTTATTCCGAACAGGGATGTCCACTTGATGAAGCAAGTTCCCAAACCAGCTAGACCAGTTAGACACTATTCATTGGACGCTTTGACTGCTTTGCTCATAGGATCCACTGTGGTGCTTCCGCTGTTTTTCTTCGGATTGGGTGCCCTCCAATCCGAGCGCGAAATCCTTAGGATTTCCAGCGTGATTTGACGGACGTCATGGTGGCCACTGATGCATATGGTCAAGGCATTGACAAGGCCAACATTCGGCTCGTCGTCCATTTCGAAGCGCCCGTGAACTTCGAGCTGTACCTTGGCCTGCGAAGTTTCTTTTGCGAGAGTCTTCCTGTGCTGCCGGTTTATCTCTGTGGTTTTACCTGTTGTCAACTGCAGGCTTTGGTTGTGATGGGAAGGAACCTTGCACTAATCAGATCTTGTTTTGGATATATAGTATTTGAACCCAAAATGACCAAAGCTTTCCCGCACCGCCGCCACCTTGGGCTGGGCCAGCCCCCCGATTTGGGCGGCCAAGGTATATCAACCACATCGGCCGCGCTGGCCGTGATGGGAAGCCCTCACAATGCGTCCTTTTGTACAGCACCTTGGGCAGCAAACTTAACTGACACGATCAAGTTTGGGAGGAAACAAACTTCCAACTCTGTCGTGTCAGACCTTAACAAAGGAGGACTGGTACGGGATTGTGTTCTTTAAAAAAATCCAACATGCCAATTGATTCATATTGGTCTGATTGTTTCATATGTGGCGATCTGTTCAGAGATCGTCAGAGATGGCAAGAACGTGCTGCCTTTGTTCCTATAGGGTTTAGGTGGTTGAAGAGCCCTCCGCAGAAACTAGCAAGAATCTTACTGATCTATACAAGAGACCTTCCATATGGCAGGGTCTTTGGGCAGCCCCTGAAAACCATAGAGGTGTTTCCAGCAAGAAGTGAAGGGGGTGTTCCAAAAGTGGAAACAGAATCTTGCAAGACCTCAACACAGGAATCTCCAATCAGTACTCTAGGAACCAATCAGTCGACCGACACGTAGGAACTGTAGAACAAGGGGCTTTCGCGGATTTTTGAGGTGGGAGTTGGGAGTTGAGACCAACTGAGGCCTCGCGTGGTTCAAGACAGTCAAGCAGCCTAATTCGTGCTTCACAAAAGAGTCGTGAACCCAGCCTACCATCAGCCGGAGCCACAAGAGGTTCTACGAATGATGCGTATATATATATATATTAATATGTGTGTTTCTTTTATATACTCTTTATCTATACTCCTTTGATTGGATTTCAATATATCTCTTACTTTAGCGAGAGCCTTTTGCCAGCTGCAACTTCTCCATGAAGAGAATGCAATCAACGTATAGAAATCTTGAAGTTTGAGCGGTGTTTGATTGGAATAGGTTTTTTGTTAAGGAGGCTGGGCGGTTTCCCTTTCCAGAGATTACTTCGGATGATGGCCTAGGGCCTTGGGTTTACTTTACTTGTATTGGTGTGTTTGTTTGCCTTTTTTTAAGTGAAATGGTTCAGGTTGGAGAATATGGATGTCGCTTCTCGGAAGGAGAACGCCGCCGAAATGTGATGTGTTCCTGCGTCCAAGTTTATAGAGGATAGAGGGGCTGTGGCACAGGTGAACCAAGCAAAAAGAACACATGAACATTATGACCAGCCCCCTGGGAATTAAGGCAATTATGTCGATAATATGTGATCTACATGTCGCATATTTTAAATGGACTTGACTGTGACTAGATATTTTGCTGTCCTGGATGGTGGAGCCTTTCGACTCTAAAGCTTCCTGCGCGAAATGACTCGCCAAAAAGTTAGGAATATCAAAGTATTTGCTGTTGTGCTGTGCGACACTAAACTGCGAATCAAAAGGTTCCACCACTGGGCCAACTGAATGATGCTCGCTGTGCAACACAGGCACAGCCCAAATCAAGTAGAGGGTTTTCCACACTGTGGCCAGTGGGGATGCCTGTTTGAAGACTTCTCGAGCATCAGCCATCAGTACCTCTTACCTCTCCTGCAGCGCTTCACGTGTCAGACAACAGACCAAGTCTCAGGCAGGCAGACTATGTTCCATGCTACAACGCAAACTCTTCGGAGGTACCAGAGCAGCCGACCAATTACATTTGGTCAACCTCAGATCTGCCTCTCCTTGAAGCTTGAGTGGGGGATGTCACAGGGCACATTGCAAGACACTTCCCGCTAGCCCGGGTGCAACAAGGCAGGATGTGGCTACACCCACGTTTTCATCGAGAACCTGCCTTGAACCGCTGTTGCCGCGTAGCAAGAAGTACTTGCGCCACACCTCTGTCACTATGCCCTTCTCCGCCCTGATTGACTCAGGACTGCTCACACATGACACTCATTGTAGGGACTTGTGTAGCGCTGCTTCGCGTCACGTCACAACACTGCGATTGCTTTCAGTGGAAGCATTGAATTTCAGTTCCATCCAGCACAGTCGGTTGGCTCCAGCCATTTCCGCACACGAATGGTCCACCATAGATCGCTCTTCGCTAGAGCACGCGTACACGCAAGGCCTGGAGAGTACTTTGTCGAGCTTCCCGCACCACTTCGGCAAACCTGACTCCAAATAACACGAATCACGAATCTGGAAGACTCACGCTAGAGCTCCCGGAGGACGACTATGGTCTCAAAATGTCTCAAACAACTACTCTTACAATCTTGCTCAGCTCCATGACCAAAGTGACTATGTGGCGGGCCCCAACTCTGGACACCCAGTTCATTGCTGTACATTAAGGAGCCGTCATCAAGGACCTGGCCTGTACCATGCGTTGGCACGGTGGCCAAAGCAGCCTCGGAAAACTCTCTGCCTGATGAAACCTGATCCAGCGCCGTTTCTCCTTTTGAAGAACAGCCAGCTTTAGACCTGAAAGCCGCAGCCCTACTGGAAGCCCCTCTATCCATAGAACGGCAAGACTTCCAACACGAACCACCCGCAAGGTTGTTGCAGACCCTGCGCGATGATGCAGCTTTTCATTCCTAAGCCCTTTGCCTTGCAATCGGGGTTCCAGTTTGCATCCGGGGTTCTGGGCTTTCATGGCTTGTATTCTTGCTACAACCACGCTTGCATTCTTGTGCCAATGGATGCATCCGATCCTTGCGTCGCTGCTCGCAGCAGTCTTGCTTGTTGCCATCCTTGTGGTGGCAATGGATGCTCATTGAATATTGCGGCAGTCTTGCTTGCCATCATGTGGCAGCAATGGATGTGTTCATGGTAATACATGGACCTTGGAAAACGGACCTGTCACAGCGGCAGCCAGCAGCGCATCGTGCTTTTTCGACCTTGAAGCTCTTGCGTCGCAACTCTGTGACACAGCTCTTTTTGACAAAACCGACGCGGCGTGACAAACTAAGCAACGCGGGACCCGCCCCATATTTTAAGCGCCTGCTTGTACAAGGGTTGTCTCATCAAGTCAGTTGGGCAGTATTTTCAACTGTGAGTTCCAGCGTGGCCTGGGAACGTCGGCGATACAATGTCGAAACCCAGATTTGGCTCTTGAGCGCGCGAATCCACAGCAGCTGGATTGATGACTGAGTGATGCCAACAGCGCAGGTGAGCGATCAAGCCGCGCCGCCTTGTGTGCAAACAGCAGCTGTTCGCCAGTTCAGGGTTCATCACGCTGTCTGCCATCATTGTCTTGCATAGCTTTGCGCAAGACGGCGCCCTGGCAGAAGATTGATGTCCTCGGAGGGCCCCGGTCTCCATGTGTTTTCTGTAGCTGCCCCACATGAAAGAGGCGCAACCGCGATGCTTACATCGTGGAAGCCTCAAAGGTTGGCTGGGAGTCGCGCGGCCCATCTTTGCACCATGAACCCACTTAAACCCAAACATCCGCGGGGAGGAGCCTTGCTGAATGTCTGCATGAACTCCCAAACATGTCCCTTGTAGTTATACCCAGTGGTTTGGAATCAGCGAATGCCCTACGACAGATAACATTGTCGGTCTGGGCGCCCTGTTGTTTGGGCGCGGGCGGCCCGGGCAGTCCTTTGAACCTTCATGCCAGGTCGTGCAGCATTCAAGGCCAATGCGCTAAGAAGTCAAAGTGTCAACGCTGTTGGCACCGCACCCTTGGTGAAGATCAACGCTTGAGTTGGTATAGGTGTCCATCCCTTGGCGCAATTTTTCGCATTCATGGGCGCTGGCTCGACAACACTGTTTTGATATGCTTTGATCCAATTATGTGCATCGAATCGAATGTATAAATATGCAAAGTACACCGGCAAATTTCGCGACCCAAGGATGCCCAAACGTTTATTCCGTCGACATGGTTTCGGTGTGAGGAGGAACACCACTCGCGGAAAATTCTGAAAAGTTTCTGCACCTCGGGCTTTGGCTGCCGATGGCAACGGTTGTTGGTCTACAGTGGCTGTGAAGACGAAATGGACAAAGATGGAGGCTGGGACTGCCGCATGCAAGTGAAATTACTGAAACTTGTGGATACATGAACTAGGTGCCCGCTCGCTGCGTTTCGGAAACGTTGCCAAACAGAATTGCATGTTCAATTATGACAATGAGTCCGTTGCATGTTGCATGTGTGCCACTTATACATCAAAACCTCATGTTTTGGCAGGATGTGGTGATCAATGCGACGTTTGCCGCAGAAAGGCAAAGAAAAAATTCCAAAACGCGAGAAACCTCAAAGCTGCTGCGACCCCCGAATTTGACACTGCACGATGTGTGGAACCTCTTGATAAGCTGCTGCTACGGGAGGAACGGTCTGGTTTGGATGCCCCTTGTCAGACAGAAACAATTTTTTTTTGAGGCTCTGAAGAGAACCCAAGTTCGTAGTCAGATTCCATGCAATGTTTGGAGGATTAACCTGCCCAGTTTTCAAAACAGATAAAAACACTGAATGGTCAGCTTGTCAAAGTCTGACTTTTGGGTTCTTGTAAGACACAAGGCCTCAAAACAACATGCTGAACATCTGCAACATTTTGTATTCATTTAGAGTCTAGATGATACCCTTTGTATCCCTTTGTCAGCAATGAATGTTTTCAAGGGCACAACGTTTTGTTGCCCACATGCAGAACACAATTTTTTGTCGATCATCTATGTTTTCCTCAAGAAGGTGTTGATGAAATTTCAAGGACATGTTCCCTGAACAACGGGTTTTCAAAACCCAATTTGTCTCTTCATGTCAGTTGGGTACTGCAAGCAGTTGTGTTCAAGTAATGTTTCGAGTTTGTGTTTTCATTTGTTCAATATTTTATGATAAGATACTGTAAGTTACGTAAGGGTTTCGCATGGTGCACATTGTCCAGTCATTTGGAGTTTAACAGCCACCCATGTGTAACCAGTTTTTGTATTATTTTTGTCATGTTCATGTTCGTCCAAGTTTGGTCGAGGCCCCACAATTTAACTCCATCAAGTGTTTAAGCTGGAATTGGGACACAAAGTATAGGTAAAGAGGGTGTTCAGAATGTAGGAGGTGAGTGAGTTGTATTACTTGGAAATCTCTACATTTCAGGACACTGCCAACAGAAGGGGATGGCCAAAGCCACATCCGGTGCATGCACTCAGGTTTTGTCTAGCGCTTTGGCTTCGCCCAGAGACTTCAACGCCACCCGGACACCGAGCGCGCCCAACGACCGGTGTCCACCGGTGTCCACGCCACGATCCGAGGCGAGGCCGCCAGTGGTGCGAGCCACGAAGACGGCGGTGCGAGCCACGAAGACGGCGGACGAGACCGTCCGGACTTGGGGGCGGACTTGGGAAACGGGCGGAGAAACGCGGTGGAGGTTCTGAACATTCATTGCAATGTGTGTAGATGTATGGTGTATCAATGTGTATAATATGTTTGGTTGCTTGCGATTCTGATTGCTGGTGCATATGTGCTTCGCTTCCCGTCTTTGCCCTTGCAGCAAAGGTCTCAAGCCCGGCACTTGCAAAGATTGAAGAAGATGAAAAAGAAGTCAAATCGCTGAATATCAGAGGCCCAAGGCAGCGGTTCCGCGTGTCGGCCTGTGTAAAATAGATATGGCCTAAATATAATTATGGTATATTTTGGTCAGCAACTACCGAGTTGGGAGGATGCTTGCATTGATTTGCATTGCCTATTCATTATGAATAATCATGACCTTGTAAGATGGTAGAGAGCCAGTCGAAGGGAGAGCCTACCCATGTCACAGATGATCCATAAGATGTTGGTTTGCAGGAACTTGCTGCCTGTTGATTATCGAGAAACAGGATGCTGGGCAGACATATGTGGGTTTGTCTCAAGATAGGGAGGACACCACAAGAGAAATCCACAAATAGATGGACACAGGACACCTGCTTTGGGGAGTATGTTTGAAGGAGTCTTCGAGTTTGCTGTGCATGATGCACATGATCAGAGGATTGTTTGGGCTTCTGGTCGGTTCAAGGTGGGATCCTCACCTCAATCGTTCGACTGGTGGGTGACATGGGAGTTGATGGTCCATTTAAAGGCTGCTGTGTCAGGCGGTCCATCATTTTTACAAAACACATCATCATGCTAGATATTTATGCAAGCTGGCTGGCCTTTGTCTACCAGCGACTTTAGCCTACTGAAAGAACCTGTTGCAGTAACATCAAACAAGATGGAGCCCACGAACCCGAATGCAAACACGTTCGAAAAGCTACATATGTCCAAATGACACTCTTGTAGGACACTCTTGTGGGACACTCTTGTGAGACACTCTTGTGGGACGCTGTTGCGGGACACTCTTGTGGGACACTCTTGTGGGTCACTCTTGTTGGGACACTCTTGTAGGAAGCTCTTGTGGGACACTCTTGTAGGAAACTCTTGTGGGACACTCTTATAGGACACTCTTGTGGAACACTCTTAAGGGACACTCTTGTGAGACACTCTTGTGGGACACGGTTGCGGGACACTCTTGTGGGACACTCTTGTGGGACACTCATACGGGACACTCTTGTGGGACACTCTATCTGGGACACTCTTGTAGGACACTCTTGTGGGACACTCCTATAGGACACTCTTGTGGAACACTCTTAAGGGACACTCTTGTGAGACACTCTTGTGGGACACTCTTATAGGACACTCTTGTGGGTCACTCTTATGGGACACTCTTGTGGGACACTCTTGTGGGACACTCTTGTAGGACACTCTTGTGAGACACTCTTGTGGGACACTCTTGTGGGTCACTTGCAGGACACTCTTGTGGGACACTGTTGCGGGAAACTCTTGTAGGACACTCTTGTGGGACACTTTGTGGGACACTCTTGTGGGACACGGTTGCGGGACACTCTTGTGGGACACTCTTGTAGGAAACTCTTCTGGGACACTCTTGTAGGACACTCTTGTGGGACACTCTTATAGGACACTCTTGCGGGACACTCTTGTGGGACACTCTTGTGGGACACTCTTGTAGGACTCTTGTAGGACACTCTTGTGGGACACTCTTGTAGGAAACTCTTGTGTGACACTCTTGTAGGAAACTCTTCTGGGACACTAATGTAGGACACTCTTGTGGGACACTGTTATAGGACACTCTTGTGGGACACTCTTGTGGGACACTCTTGTAGGACTCTTGTGGGACACTCTTAAGGGACACTCTTGTGAGACACTCTTGTCGGACGCTGTTGCGGGACACTCTTGTGGGACACTCTTGTTGGGACACTGTTGTAGGAAGCTCTTGTGGGACACTCTTGTAGGAAACTCTTGTGGGACACTCTTATAGGACACTCTTGTGGAACACTCTTAAGGGACACTCTTGTGAGACAGTCTTGTGGGACACGGTTGCGGGACACTCTTGTGGGACACTCATACGGGACACTCTTGTGGGACACTCTATCTGGGACACTCTTGTAGGACACTCTTGTGGGACACTCTTATAGGACACTCTTGTGGGACACTCTTGTGGGACACTCTTGTGGGACACTCTTGTAGGACTCTTGTAGGACACTCTTGTGGGACACTCTTGTAGGAAACTCTTGTGTGACACTCTTGTAGGAAACTCTTCTGGGACACTCTTGTAGGACACTCTTGTGGGACACTCTTATAGGACACTCTTGTGGGACACTCTTGTGGGACACTCTTGTAGGACTCTTGTGGGACACTCTTAAGGGACACTCTTGTGAGACACTCTTGTCGGACGCTGTTGCGGGACACTCTTGTGGGACACTCTTGTTGGGACACTCTTGTAGGAAGCTCTTGTGGGACACTCTTGTAGGAAACTCTTGTGGGACACTCTTATAGGACACTCTTGTGGAACACTCTTAAGGGACACTCTTGTGAGACAGTCTTGTGGGACACGGTTGCGGGACACTCTTGTGGGACACTCATACGGGACACTCTTGTGGGACACTCTATCTGGGACACTCTTGTAGGACACTCTTGTGGGTACACTCTTGTGGGTACACTCTTGTGGGACACTCTTGTGGGACACTCTTGTGGGACACTCTTATAGGACACTCTTGTGGGACACTCTTAAGGGACACTCTCGTGAGACACTCTTGTGGGACACGGTTGCGGGACAGTCTTGCGGGACACTCTTGTGGGTCACTCTTGTTGGGACACTCTTGTAGGACACTCTTGTAGGACACTCTTGTAGGACACTCTTGTGGGACATTCTTGAGGGACACGGTTGTGGGACACTCTTGTAGGAAACTTGTGGGACACTCTTGTAGGAAACTCTTGTGGGACACTCTTATAGGACACTCTTGTGGAACACTCTTAAGGGACACTCTCGTGAGACACTCTTGTGGGACACGGTTGCGGGACACTCTTGTGGGACACTCTAACTGGGACACTCTTGTAGGACACTCTTGTGGGTCACTCTTGCAGGAAGCTCTTGCGGGGCACTCTTTGGGGACAATCTTGATGCCACAAATCATCCCGCGGCTGTGCAAATCCCAGTGGCACTGCGACATCACAAACGTCGTGTCGCCGCAGGCAGTCATGCGAGCGTTTCGTACGAGACGTCCTCCAAAAGTCACGCGTCGAGGCTGCAAGACGAGCGTTTCGTACGAGACTTCCTCCAAAAGTCACGTGTCAAGTCTCCAAAACGAGCGTTTCGTACGAGACCTCCCCCAAAACTCACATGCCAATTCTGCAAAACGAGCGTTTCGTACGAGACTTCCTCCAAAAGTCACGCGTCAAAGTCTGCAAAACGAGCGTTTCGTACGAGACTTCCTCCAAAAGCCAAGCGGAAACACCCATCGGAGCACACACATTACGCAGCCCTGCGAAGCAGTTTCGCGAGTCCAGCCCCTCCAAACAATACCCGCTCACACGCCAATCCCAATGTGACGGCGACATTCACCTCTACCACAACTCACGACCTCACGATTCCCTGCGCCTGCCACGAATCTTTCCGCATCCACACGTCTAACGCGCGCAAAGTACTGCGCCTGTCACGAAAATCGTACTTCCACACCTCAAAATCCGCACAAAGTACTGCGCCTGCCACGAAAATAGTGACAATATCATCTCACGTGAGCTTCAACAAAATTTGCACCACACCACACGTTTGGAATGATTTCGACCCGTTCTGAGCACACTCCCATCCACCAAAATCGCCATTTCAGCTGAGACTTGTCACGAAAACCGAGCTTCGATGCCACACCCTGAAACGCAAATCCCAATGGCACGGCCACATCCAACGCCCCAAAAACACGACTCTCCAAACGCTAGTCCCAATGGAACTGCGCAGCAATCTGCAGATCTCACAAAACGCTGCGCCTGTGCAGCGAAACGCATCACGTTTCTTGCGCGACATGTCATTTTCATGCAAATCACAATGGAATAGCGGCGCAAACTGACACGTGACACATCCATGAAAAGTCACTTGCAAAAGCTTCCCCCAATGGCAGCGCCTTAGCGCTCTACTGCGGACGGTTGCGAACGGTTGCGAACGGTTGCGGACGGTTGCGAACATATAGAAGCAACGGGTCGCGAACAAGGCTCTACCCCCAGACCCCCAAGAGTTAAACGAGAACCCTTCGCTACGCATTCGGGAAAAAGGTTTTTGTTTCCGTGCTCCCACAGAGATCGTGCAACAACGTTGCATTTGTCAGAGGCCCCCATTTGCAGCTTGCGCAAAGTGTTGCATTCGGAATTGAGATCCCAGGTTTGTTCAGTATGAGCATGGCCCCCTACATCAGTAGAGGCCATGAGGCATCGCCAAAGCTTTGCGTAAACATCGGTCGTTTCCATGTTGTGACAAGTTTAAGAACGCGTTGAAGGACTTCTCAACTTGCAGAATTATCATTGTGTAATGACCGAAGAAGAATGAAGGAGCCCAACATTTATATAGATCAGATGGTCTGCCGTTGCCTCGTGAAGTTGCTGAGCTCAGCGACACTTCTATTCTCTGTGCAACAATTGCATATCATATCACAACAAGCAGCCCTAAACATACTAGTAGTAACAAGAAGCTAGTAGTAACAAGTGCCATGCTAGTAGTAACAGGTGCCTTACTAGTAGTAACAAAAAACAATTAGAATTAAGATAGATATATATATAAAAATTAACTTAAAGAATACCGATAATGTGATGTGCGGAACATTGCGTGCGTCTCAGAGTGCGGAACTGCATGTCGGTACATGCTCCGTAAACTCTTTTTCTGAGAGTCCAGAGCTGGAGCCCTGTTTAAGTGGATTTCCAAAAATTTTCCAAACCAGGGATTAGACGTTAAATTGAACTTATTTATATAACTATTAAACCTACACTTAGCATCAACATGATGTTAAATATATAGATACTAGCGCAAGCATTTTGCACGGTGTTGCAGCCATGCATACTGAAGCCCAGGAGCATGGCAATGGTGGGGAGCAAAAAGTCCTGAGGACAGCTTGTGAAAGAGAGCTGGGCTCAGTTTTGATTCCTGTTGGTATAGTTGCATTTAGAACGTGTTTGTTATAACTATCATATTATCATATACTATATATGTGAAGAGAGTCCACGTTTTCTTCTTCACTGATGCTGGTGGTCTTGCTTTCGTCAGTGCTTGGTATGTAACCTTAATAAATTTGGAGGATCACTGCTGCAGAAGCACAAGCAACAATATATAATATATACGCAATAGAGATTATCAAAGGAAGTTTAGTGTGCAAAACTTCCGTGTTACGGACATTCAACAGCTGTTCAACCACCACTCATCATACACCACTCATCATACACCACTCATCATACACCA